AAGGTTCTAGCCTTATTATTTCCAACGAGGTATATTAATTCTATAGTTCATACTCCATTCGCTTAGGTGCATAGTCAGTAGTTCTACAGTTGTTCTAAGTTCCTTGATTCTCAAATCACATCAGAGTTATGTACCACAATAGTTCATATCGAAGAGTTCAGGTCAAATACAATGTTACATTCTCCAAGTAAGTTCACAAATAGGTGCACATATATGTAATTGTTCATATCAAGAAGTGGGTTTCAAAGCGTTCATTAATCACAGTCCAGTCCCGTTAATTCTTCCAGGTTTATAATTCAATATAACGTAATTAGTCACTATCAATGTTTTCACTAGTTCCATAATAATATAATTTCAGTAAATGAAGTCTTACTTCTTCAGATATCAAGTTGGAAAATTTTCATTGGCTTAAATCGTTTAGTCTTTAAGTTAGTTCAAATCTTAGCGATACTCTAATAATAATCTCCTTTTTAGTGACCTCGGTTGAGTTCTAAATGATTCCAACAAATGGGTTCCGTCTTAATCAAATAACACATAACATAACTGGTAACAAAACATGAGATAAATTGAGTTCATCAATCAAAATTTTTCAAAGCCTCTAGGGCTGTTTACTAACATATACATAACACAAAGGATGACATTCTTGACAGAACAGAGGAATAACCACCCCGAAATCGAAGCACACCCGCTTATGACCGTCGGTGGCCAACCCGGAATCGGTTAGACAACCCACCCGTACAAGACCGTCGGTGGCAGAACATAACCCACCCATACAAGACCGTCGGTGGTACCATCCGTACATGACTGTCGATGGCAAAGAGATATCTCAACAAAGGTGCTACATAAGCTTAACGTCCCCTAGCACGAAAGGACCTTTCAAGAATGTCATCAAAACAAAGCTAACACTTGATGCAGAAACTAATGGATAATCATTCATGCTAGATTAAATACTCTTCCAAAACAAAGCAAAGCAAAACTTTATCAAAACATTATAACACAACTTTATTTAAAAACAAGCACCCACACATAAACTGTTAACTTCAAGCAGTCCTACTTGTACATAAGTACTATCCTTAATCAAGTAAATTATTTAAGCTTTCTCTTAGGTTTTGGGATAGTCTTTTATTTAATGCCCCAACTTCTCACATTTCCAGTAATTCGATGACACAGTCTCCGATAGATCTTGTGACATATAACATACTAGGATAACTTACTTTTCTTACAACTTTACCAGGAATTGCTCGTCTTTCCTGCCACAAAATTCTTAGTTTTCTCCGTTGGTTCACTTTTCACTTCCACACTTAATTCTCCCTTTCGATCTTGCTATGTGCGGTAGGATTCACAGCTTTCACTACGTTCTCTAGTACTTCTTCTACTTAACCTCATCACTCTAATAAAAACTCAATTTCCACTTCATTCATACTTTTTCACCACCTCCTCCTATTGACGGAAGGGAAGGGTTAAACACAAGAAAATGGTTGACAATACTTGGGTTGATTCCTTGACTTAAATTATATTACAAAGCACATATCATATACAAGTAGACATACACACATAGACATATAAGGACGCTGGTAGGGTGACCTATTCATTCCCAAGGAATTTACCAAGAATTTCTAATTCGAAGCACGCTGGCCAAACGTGATTCCAATCAGACTTTCAAGGTCATTCTACAAAGGCATGACACTCTACGGTTTACTATTTCACATAATAGGTTCCCACTAAAATGTATTATCTTACATATCAAATGACTCCTCTCGTCCTCAATTACCATAGTTCCACGCATCTCGTTGATCATCAAATTTCTCAATTTTCCAAGTATTCTCATAGTCCAGTTTAACATATAACGCATATAGCTTCCATGACCTTCATTGAAGATTCCAATTTTGCATAATACTATGTTTCCAAAAATCAACATGCCTATTCTCACCAATGCTTTAGTCAAACTCTTGATTCCCTTATAACATTAGACATTTCACAACATTTCTTAGCTTTTAGAGCTTTTAGCCTCATCGCTAAGCTTGTTAAACACATTCGAGTTTCCCCTATAACCATCACAATTCCTTGACAGCTCATAAAACCTAGCTTTAACACCTAAACATATCACACAAATGTGAATACATAATCTTGAATGCACATTTAACTACTTATTTCCCATATGCATGAAACTTAAATTCGTTCTAGACATTCCAATGCTCAATGGACACGTGTGTGAGGTATTATCTCGTGCTCTGATACCACTCTGTCACGACCCAAACCCGCCCCTATAGGTTTAGCATCGTAACCGGCCAGTAATCCTTGGACTACCGAAGGCCTCTGAACAGATTAACAAGATTAAGGGGTTAGCGGAAGCAAATACATAAATATAATTGTCCAATGAGCTGTGCTGACTTATATAAAACGGAATATTTAAAAACTTTATATACATAATCAAAAGTCAATCATACATTATACCCACACACAATATAGTATCTTAAACCCAACCAACAGAATTAAATCAAGTCATACATATACACAGAACCAACAGAACTTGAACACAGGACACTTCGGGAACCTCTACGTGAGGCACAATGATTGGCTGACAACAGAACACAGATCCAGACAAAAGCCTTCAGGCTCGGGCTCCAGAATGCTCACCTATACATATATATACACATAATGAGCTAAAGCCCAATGAATAACATTAAGGTAAAGAGGTTAGTGAACGAAATCCGAATATATCATAAGCGAAAAACAGATCATAACATAATCATCGTCATATCAAAAACATAATAATGGTACATCCCATAGAACACATCACAGAATGTCTTCCGACTAGAGTAATCAGTTCCGGATACCGATTAAACACATATCACCATAATGAAGTGGCTAACGAGATCTCGTAATTACTTATATGCCATGGACCCGCATTTTCATGCCATCCCCCATGACTTGGGACTATCTATGGATGCCATAATAGATTTCAAACTTAGAATATTCGTTCACGTAAACAAATATCCTTTTAGAAATCATAGCTTATCACATTTCATTTGGAACATAATTCATATCAACATATCTTTACAGAAATGTTACTCACAGTTGTTCCCGTAAATGGTCAATCAATCCTCGAGTCTTGACCTACAATCACAAAATACATAACACAAGCATGTCTTATTATTACACATTCATGTGGCCAACACGGCTTAGCTTTCATTACATTGGTTCTTGTTCTTTCTTATCACATTGTCTAACACACACACACTTGCAATTCCTTGACTTAGTACATTCTTGTCTTAGTGTGTTTCTAATCCATAACCTCATTACTATGGCTTAATTAAGGCTTAGGAATGCCTAAGATGCAATGAGGATGCCAAAACATGCCTTGGAACACTTAGTCAAAATTTCTAAAAATAAGGTCTACGCTCGAGCGTAGCTTTCCCTGCTCGAGCGGACATGCAAAATGTGAATGGTCGCTCGAGCGCACATTCCTTCGCTCGAGCAATCTGTAAAAGACATGAAACTTCTGGGAGCTTGCAATTCACGCTCGAGCGGACTTTTGGTCGCTCGAGCAGAGTGCATGCACTTAGACTGGTCGCTCGAGCATGAACTCCCATGCTCGAGCGTAGATGCAAATTCTGAAATTTTCAGATTGCACCTTCAAGCTCAAAACTCGAATTCTAACTTTCAAAATACATCTCTTGGGCCCCAAAACTTGAGATAACATAGTAAACTTGTAAAACATGAAGAATTTAGGATCATTTCATAAAATCATGGCCCAAGGGTTTGTTAAAAACTCACAATTTCAACTTAAAACATGATGAATGTTCATGAACACAACATGCATGTAAAATCTTTTCTTCAAACCTCATGAAACTAGCAAATTGAGCTCATAAGCTCCATGCATGTAAGAAATTCTTCCCAAAACATGATTTTAAGTAAAGGAACATGATAATTCAAACATGGATGATATGAATCATGTTCAAAATGATGAAATTAAACTAAACTAAGCATGCATGTATGAATTAACTCTAAATTCATCATCTTTGGTCCAATTCTTGTACATAATCACAAATTCTTCTTGAAATGATCTACTTGATGGTTGAAAGTTATAATTAAGTCTTAAATCCTTACCTAGAGTCTTCAATTAGCTAGGTACTTGCACAATCTTTGATCAATTCAAGCTATGGCCTTCAATTTCTCTTTAATTCCTTCAACTCTCTCTCTCTAGAATTGCACTCTCTCTCTCTCTAGAATGAATTCTCAGATTTTTCCACTCAAGGGAGATGAAACAAATGAGCTCAAATGAGCTTATATCTCACATATAAAGCTATGATGCTAAAATACACTAATTAGAACATAAGGCTTGCCAAACGCGACTTAACGAATCAGACTGAATCAATTTTTAATAAAACTTGTCATATGGTTCTAAAAATTCCAAATAACATATTGGTGGAGTCAATTTCGGTTTCGAATGCTGGTAAGGCTTTCAATTTACATATTAAAGCAGAATTCTAGACAGATATTTCTACAAGTAACAGATAGTATGTCAAATATCATGCAATTCACATAATAAATCCATAATTTATTTGATTCACTCAATTAGCATCTTTAATCTTTGATTAATAGCTAATTACATGTCGGGGTTGTTACAACAATAGAGTCATGTACTGGCTTTTACACTTTGTAGCTGTTACCCACGTCATATACTATGGGTGAAAACCTACTCCTCCTATGACCAACATAAAGACAAATGAGTTCAACCCTACAACAATTAACACAACGAAAAAAAAGTAAAATAAAAAACAAAAATGCTTCTTAACTAAAAAAAAAGTAAATTTGACAACAATAACAAACTAAAATAGCATATAAATAGTCGATATGTTTCCAAACTTAACTAAATGCACCCATCACAACTGCAATTAACGACTACATTATTGTCAAACATATGGTTCTTCTAAACACATATTTCGAAAACAACAGTACTATGGCAACACAACAAAAGTAAGTGAAAGCACAAAACTTTAATCCATATCAACCACACCATCACTCCCGAACAAATGTACGTCTCGTTCACGTTCCCTGCGAACATTGGCCGGCGTGCAAGCACGCTTCTCTTTTAACCAGTTGACAATGTAATCTTGGGGAAGGGACATAATGATGTCACGATTATCGGGTGAATCCATTATGGCACAAGCGAATGAAAATAACTTACCGCCTGGCTCCAATCCAGGCATGCTCATTAGCCTTGCAAGACAATCCCCAATAGTGTTCTCACCCTTCCCTGTGACAACATATTGCATTATTTTCAATTCCCGGCTTTGTTTGCTGACAGCCTCGACAAGGTTGTCCATGCTACTAGCGATAGTACCAGGCGCTGGCCGCTTGCGATGTTCTGCATTGGCTGATTCGTTAGGGGCAGACTGCGAGGGAGCATCGTCAAACAAGGAACTATCCACCACGTTCTCCTCGACAATATCATGGCCCGGATGTGGTGGTGTGCCAGCACTGAGAGGTCTCATACTGCTGTCCTTGGTTGCAATGGCCGCAGCAGCATCATCATCGCATAGTTCAGTTGGAGTCCATGCATGTTTACCCGTCGCAGCTACGCCAGAGTACACCCGTTCCATGAGCTCCAAGTCCTCTAAAGGCTTCGTCTTGAACTTAGCACGTCGGTTGTTCATCTAAGACAAAAGAATACACATATTCGTATTGTATAACCAGTTACATCAAAAATAATCAGTTCCAATAATTAATCAGAGGCAATAATGGAAAGCATGCAAATAAGTGTAAACGCATGCAAAGTTGTGCAGTGCACAAGAAAGAATTTTAACAATGTACCAACTAGTAATGAAAACATTAAAACTAATAATTGTAAATGTGGCACAATTATCTTGGACATTAACTTCAATGTATTCAGCAATTGCTTTGATTTTAAAAACTAGTGCCCAAAGCAAAATCTTGCATTACAAATCATAAAGTAGTACAGGGTTAAGGAGAAAAAAAATTATTGCACGACGTACCATTTGTATTTTTGCCCACCAATGGTCAGGAGCTGTGAACAAACCCGTCTCTTGGTCGTACCGAAGTCCTATCAAGCCTTGGCTAACATTCTCTAGCTTCTTCCAAGCAACCCTATCTTTCTTCAAGTTGCCATACTTGTTTTTCATTTGTTTGGCCGAATGTAGAATGTCGGTTTTGTCCAAGAACTTGTTTGCAACGTTTTTATACCCACTCATCGACAATCCGCACGGTTGTCAATTACCTGCGTCCATTTCTGCTATGACGAGTTGTAGAAATAGCTTTGTATTGTCATTGTCAAACTGGCATTTGTGGACTGGTTGTTGTTCGGTTGATGTAATCGCCATACCTTGGTTCTTGGAAGGGGTACGGAGTGACACACAATTAGTTGCCATGGCAAGTGCGAATGGTGTAGTTGGAGTTATGACAAATGCAATCTTGCTTGTACAGTTAACGATGTATCAGTTTAACAAAATTGGAGTATATGTTTTTCATGTCCACATCCGAAACCTAAGTCCATAGGCAAATCAATAAGTTTTACGTATACTAGTACAACACCCCAATAGAATAAGATAGTTTTTATAACACTTGGAAGAAATATTAGATCATACAGGACGAACATAGTACTAACAACAACAACATATGTGATACAGAAACAAACGTACATGTCACAACATCCGTGACAATGGATCACATATGAAACAACAACACAAAAACAACGATGCACAAAACAGCAACAACAATCCTAAGCATACGTAGGCTCTGATCTATGCGAATAGCGTCCACACATAACCCCGTATCGACAACATTAAGTGGGTGGTCAGTACAAATCTTTCGCTACGAAACTCGTCACACCAACCAACCCACACAACACATCACTGTCATATAAAAGTGAAATACATAGTTAAACAACATGATATGTGCCATAACGACAAATGAACAAGCACATGACTAATTGCATAAGAGAGGGTTAACACAAACGCACCGTACGACTAGGGCAAACGTAGTACGCACACCCTAGGTTTTTGGCAGATCTGGAAATCTTGACAATGCAATGTCCAAAGCCACATGCACACATTCTCGGTAGCCTTGACGAAGTGGCAGTTGACATGGAGGACACTATCTCTATAATCTTTTTTTTGTTGTTGCCAACCAGTTAATCTGTTTTCAGCTGCAAAATAGAATCTACGGTTGGGTCGATGGTGTTTTATCAATGGTTTGCTTATTTTCATTTATTTGTCACATTCAGGTTCGTTAGTTGCAGTCGTTGTGTTTCTTGGATATTAGTTGACAACCTTTGTACTGTGAATAGTATGGGTAATTCTCTAATAGTTCTATCACACTATGTGAATATAATTTTTTTTTTGGTAGAAACAGCTCTCCCCTTGTGTAAAGTTTTACTCAAAGATTCATGTCATATAGTATTAGAGTCAACTAACACGTTGAGTATGAGATTGAATAGCCTTCTCGTCTAAAATAGAATTATAAATACAAATACACGCACTCAATAATAGAGGCTACATCACTATTTTGTTTTAAAGTGTGGACAAAGTAAACACTTGAAAATCCACACCTTATGACCTACAAGATAATGTACAATAATTAGGGATTAAAATTATTTACCATGAATCTCTGGACAATGGTCTTGCTATAAGTCAATGAATTAGGTTCAAAGGTAAAACCAAAAGATATCATTGTAGGTTGTGTAGTTTAACATATACGCAATATTTTTAATACTATTTCACTTTAATTTTAAACTCAAACTATTAATCTATGTATTATGTTGATGTGTGTTATCCTGATTTTTTTTTTCTTTTTTTTTTAAAAAAACATAACAAATGATCTTTATTATCACGTAATTACAGTGACATTGCAAGTACTACAGTATTGCATGGGATCAACATTCATGTAAGTGAACAGATCATGAAGATAATTGATTGGAACCTACGTTAAACACACACACGCTAAGACCTTGGTTTTTCTTCCCTTTTGCCCTCAACTTCAAATGTGCATTTTTTGAGCATATGTTGCCTAACAAATCTAGCAATGATTGGACGGGCAAACATGTGAAGCAGCTAAGCAAAAGAGACATTTAACAAAAAAAATGCCAAAAAAAAAAAAAACAAAAAAAGAAAGTTACAACCATGTCTCTCTCTCTTTCCCCTACAAAACCCACATATGGAGTACTCCACTGTAATTACACATGTATGTCAAAGTATTTATCTATGTAATTCTACACATCATAAATGAATTACACAAAATTTTGAAAGTATTTACATGTTCAAGGCTTAATTGACCTACAAGCAAAACACATGAAGCTCACAAGAACATGAGATAAAATTGTTTTCATATATAACAAAATCAATCTGGGTTAAAGGCATTCTAATAAAAATAATGTTGTTATAATTTGGGGATGAACCACTCCATCTTCTCTTCTTTTCTCTCTCTACACTGTAATAACCGTGTATGTGCAAGTGTGTTCCTCTTGGTCTCCACATTGATTGCTTTCATTTTTTGAACTGTTGGCTGTATTGGTTGGATATTGGGCACCCAGATCATGAAGCAAAGTTATTGAATTTATAAGTGGAGTTTCATTGGATTTGTAGTTTTTGTGCTGTTCATGAAATTTTGACATATAAATGGGTGCTCATTACTTACTTCATTTGGTTTGACATATAAATGGGTGCTCATCACATATAAATGGGTGTTCATGAAATTTTGACATATAAATGGGTGCTCATTACATATAAATGAGATGAATCTTTTTGTTTACTCATTTGGTTTCTCATAACCCCCATCTCTGCTACTCTCATATAAGTTCCCAGTTAAATTTTTTTTTTTTTCTTTCCACACCTTGTTTTTTTGTTTTTTTTTTTTTTCTTTCCGTGTGTAACGGATGCCAACCCAATTGCAGGTATGAGGGAAGAGAGTAGCTGAAACAAAGAGGTAGTGAAGGCATTGCTGTTCTGTGGTTACAGAACACGGACGACATAACTCGGAAATACAACATGATAGAGGTAGTGAGGGTTCAAATGGAAGCCAAAATCCTCAACAATTACAACATAAAAGTGTTGAAGAAAGCATATGTGCAAGAGATCGACGAATACATTTACGAAATAATTTCAAACCAAACAACAACGACCCATGGGTTCCGTGCTTACCTAATGCTGCAGATCTGCCGACGACGAGGACGATGACGACGACTCTGGAGACAGCTTTGGCGGTGGATGCTTTCGTCTCCGATTCTTGGACAGTTCGGCAGTAACGATAAGGAGGAGAAGTGATGAAGAGAGCGACGACACAAATGAGATGTTTTTGCCATAGGATTCAACTTCTAACCACAGAGGGTAGCACCGTCATTTCACAACTTGCATTCTGCTAGGGGTGGGCAACGGTTTATCCGAACCGCTCAAACCGCCCAATCCACCCAACCCACATATAAATGAACGGTTTCGCAAACATAATGCGGGCGGATGCGGTTTGAAATATGAAAAAATTGCTGGTTGCGGGCCGGTCACGGTTTAAACCTGCAACCCGCAAAAACCGCCCGCACTTTAATTATTATTATTTTTACTTTTTATATACCAACTTTGTAACTTTTACAAGAGCACCATTATATTATCTATGACACTATAGGATCCTTATTTTTAAGTATTTCTCAACTTTCTTAATGCCGTAGAATTATCAAGTCCTAAACTTGGTTTCTTATATGATTTTCATTGGTGATTCATCCACTTTTTTCTAATAAAATTTTATTTCTAATGGTCGATGGAACTTATAGTTTGATTATTGATTACTGAACTAGCAATTATAATTGAGTACAACCTTTAATGCATTGATATACATTTTTTTCATGGCAAAAATGCTAGTGTAGGATCTCTTTGTTTTGGGTACTTTCATTTAATGCATTGATATTCAACTTTTATTTGTAAACTCATCAAAATATTGTTATCACAAATATATAAAATGAATTTGATGCCTAAATTCACTGGGAAAAAAAAACTCGAAAATTAATTTTTAAAGAAAAAAAGTGTAAACCGCAAACCGCCCGCACATTTGCAAACCCTATCCGCACAAACCGCAAACCGCACTGCGGGCGGTTGCGGGTTGACTTTTTCTCAAACCGCATAGATGCGGGCGGGTCAAAACCGAACCGCAAACCGCACAAAACCGATCCACGAACACCCCTTGCCAAATGGTGTTATGCATTTTTAGTCTTTTATCTTACGTTTTTGGAATGGCTGAACGCAGCGCTTTTAGCTGTGTTCCCAAAAGACCACTATGTTTGTTTGTTTGTTTGTTTACAAAGCTCAAAAGTGAGATTAATTTATTTGTTTGTTTGTTTTCAAAGCTCAAAAGTGAGATTAACAGCTTTTTGGTTGTGAAAACAGGGGACAAATGACCGTGTAGCATTAGGCTATCTCTCAGATCATGTTGTAGAAATGGCCGCTTGCTTGTGAGATTATGTTCTTATGATTGAACTTACGAAATGGATGAGTTTTGGTTGGAAATCTTGGGGACTAAGGCGAGTAAAAAAGCCTATCTTGAATCCCAGTTCCTACTGTATTGTAACAAGATTCTTTTGATTGGTATTGTTCACGACTTCAAACTATATATATCTTTCTCAACTAAACCATTGCACAACCCAAAATACCATCCTTTTGCTTTCATGATGAGTTCCTATAGTAGTTGGTGTTTTGTTTTTTTGGATGCTGGATATTTATCATTAATATTCATTCATTGATACATTTGGATACACATGTTGAAAACCCGAATTGAATGATGGCTACTTCAGTTTGAAGAGTTGGAACCAATGCCAATGAATTGATCCATCAAAGCTAGGATAGGAACTAGGTTGTGGTAGTGAGGGGAAAAACGTTTTTCCAAGAAAATATTTTCTACTGAAACAAAGCATTGTGATAGTGAACGGGAGCTAGCCAGTTTTTCAAGCATACAACTAAGCAAATGATTTATTTCTTTTTTAGGCCTCGTTTGGGAACTCTCATTTTTAGTCAAAAAGTTATTAAATTAGTCAAAAAGCCAACAATCCATACCAAAAAGTTAAAGATTCTCTTTTCTCTCTACTTTTTGCACATCTTTTCGTAGAAAGTCAAAATATCATCCCAAACATACTAATTTTTTTAGCTCATATTTTAGTCAAATAGTCAAAAAATTACTAAATTAGCTTCTTCCCAAAAGAGACCTTAGTTTGAGTAAGAAAAGTTCAATTACATGTTAAAAGTAAAGAGCAAAAACAATTCTTACAAATGCTTTGCACTCAAGAGCTCAATAAGACCACCGACAAATGAGAAACAAAAATGCTATGGAAATCAAACAGAGATTGCATCTCTCACGCTGTTACTTCAAAAACTCCCATAAACATGCTTAATATAAAGACTACTCAATGTGCTCATAGTGACGAGGCTTGTGGATGCCTTAGAGAGAGGTGTGTTTAGATTTATAGATTTGTAATGAACCGATTTGGAATTATTCATATTTAACAGTTTTTTTTTTTTTTTCTCCTTCAGTTGGTGTTGTGCGGTGTGGGATTAAGGATAGTCTTATTGTTGTACCATTTGCAGGTTTGAATGATCTTGTCAAGGATGATCCTATTATCAAGGTAGTCTTTTATCTATGAAGAATGTAAAGGGCAAAAAAAAAAAGAAAGAAAAAAAGTCAAAAATCAAGTTGATAAAAGGAAAACAGTCTAATTGAAAATTATTTTTTATTTTTTATTTTTTTGACATGAGGGAAGAAAAGTAAGTGGCACGGAGTAATAACATTTCATTATAACGCGTCATACCAAGTTTTTACTTGGCAGAGAAACCATTCCCCAACTGCTGTGCCGTGTTCTTTGGCCCAATATCAAAAATGAAGAATGTTGGCATGAGTTGGTAACAAAATAATAATATTAATAAATAAATAAAATAAAATTTGAGGAATGTGTATGCTCCAAGGGAATAAAATGGAATTTGGCTGACTATATGTCAGCCGATCAATGTCAGGTAGATAATTTATAAATACAAATTTAGAAATTGATTGAAAGAAATTATCAAAATACAAATTCATAGTCGGGGGCTAAAATTATGTATTTGGGGTGGCTGCTAGCAGCTACTGTTGTGCAGTTAAATAGACTAATTTCAGGACTCATTTCGAGATTCATTTTGATAATTCGAACTGTTCACATTTAGAATACATCAAGTAAAACATATCTGTAAAAAATCAAGTTAATTGGATTTTGTTTATCCTTTCATCCACTTACATTTGTATTCATTTTAATACTTTAAATCACAATTGTTATTTATTTTTGTAGATATAAATGTGAGTCGATAAATAGGTAAACATATACATGTATATTCTACTTGATATATTATAAATGTGAATATTTCAGATTATCAAAATGGACTCCGAAATAACCCTATTTGGCTGCACACCAGTGACTGTTGTGCACTCCGCACAACAGCCACCTCAAATCCCTAAAATTATCAAGTGTATATTTTGAGAACCAAAGATAAATACAATAATTTGTCTATTGTTCCCAGAAACGATTGTTTAGTCAGAGTTTATTAAAAAAAATAATAATAATAATTCAATTTAGTTTAAATTTTAAAAAATAATTATAAATACTTGAAAATTTTACAAATATAATTATTAAAATCATAATCTTTTCCATGAAGATGTTATAAAGAAAGAAAAATTTCAATTTAGTTTAAATTTTAAAAAATAATTATAGATACTTGAAAATTTTACAAATATAATTATTAAAATCATAATCTTTTCCATGAAGATGTTATAATTTTTTACAAGAACCATTGTGTGGTAATTTTTTAAAAAAAAAATTCAATACAAATTTGACATATTTTCATATATTTGTATACATATTTTATATACATGATTAGTTTTTATTATTTATTTCACATGGACAAATTGATACGTTTAAAATGTGATCAAAATACAGTAATTTGATGGGATAACAGCCAGCAAATTCAGAATCAAAATCCAAACGGTTAAACAGTTACAAGCCATTCCAAATCCAAATTTCCTTTTAAAAAAAATGTTCTATTCTACCAAATATTTTAAGTTGCCGTTTAGCAATAATTTTTTGCCTAAATAAACATAAAAAAGATAAAATAGATTAAGAGATTGTTTAGAATAATCTAAATAAGTATATTTTTTGACTTTTTACAAAAAGATAAATAAAAAAATAGAAAAGTGATATGATCAAAGTAAGTGCACTTATCTAAATAAGTGTAGTTATTTAATTTATGCCAAATAATGCCTAAATAAGTCAATAACACAAATATTATATCCAAATCATAATCATTTCATTTTTTCTCTCACAGCCATTACATCCAAACCAAAGTTTTTTTTTTCCAAAACAAAAACAAAAAAAAAGTCAAAAATTTAGGTTAAGAGTATTTACAACTGTGCATCAATTTTTCCGATCAAATTTGAGTAAAAATTTCTTTTGATATCAAGTGCTCTGACGAAGGATTTTAAAGTTTTATTAAAATACCGGTCGACCGAGCGGATATCCAGCCGGTCAACTGGCCAATGTATATTTTTTTGTTTTTTTTTGCCTTAAGGCGGTTGACCGGCCAATGCAATTTTTTGAAATGGTCATCCGGGAGGACATTCAGGGGAATATTCGGCAATGATTATGAACAATGATTTGATGAAAGAAAAATGAAATCCTAGATGTGATACTTATTTGATGAAACTGTTAGAGCAGAAAAATTAGACTTTTTTTACCAAATTCAAAATTGATGACAAATCTAAGTAATCATTAGAGATGGTCTAAATTAGCTATTTCTAAACTAAAGTATACTTTAAAAAAATAATTAAAAATTAATTTTTGACTTTTTAAAAAGTATATATAAAAAAATTAAAAAATAATAAGAACTAAAATGAGTTAAAAGTTCATTTCTCACTTTTAACGGTAATTAAAAAATAATTTCTGACTTTTTAAAATATATATATAAAAAAAATTAGAAAATAATAAGAACTAAAATGAGTTAAAAAGTTGATTTCTCACTTTTAACGGGCTTCTCAGCGTAAATAATAATAAAAAATTGGCTGAAATTGCCTGATGATATTTATCGCCACGTGATGACGTGGCGTTCCAGCTGATGTATGGACACGTGTAAAAAGTGACTCCATGTGGCCCTTCAACAACACCAACACACCGTCACACCACCGCCTTTCTCTCTCTCTCTCTCTCTTCTCCACCAAGAACAAGAGAAGCACCAAATTTAGCCAAATTTCTCTAAATTTAGACTCTCACTCTTTGCATTGTCTGAACAAAGCTATGGAGGACAATTTCCGGCCACGGTCGCCGCCAGATCTCGCCGCGGCGGATCGGTGCAGGAACGAGTTGACTCGGACTTACTCTTACTCGGACTCGTCCTCTGTCACTGTTGATAATTCGAAAGCTAGACCGGTAATCCTCAAATTTTTTTTTTCTTTCGTTTTCTGCTGTTGTTATTAGAAGTAATTTGAATGAGAACTGAAATTTAATTTAAAGCCCAAAAAAAGTTAAATAAACAAAAAAACCATCTCACTTCAATTTTCTAAACTCTTGTTGAAGGAATTTTGACTTATAGAATGTTTTCTTCTCTGATTGGGTAATAAAAAGAATAAAAAATTTAATAGTAGAGAGAGGAATCTAGTTGACATAGCTGAATCTATGATGATGATGGCCAATTTCAGACAAAAGAAAAAAGAAAAGAAAGAAATTGGGATTTGTGCAAAGGAGAAATAGACATGAACGGATTTAAAAAATTGGGGTTGATTGCATTGTTAATCTTTTAATTTTAATAATCAACCAGAGTGTAAGATGTAGGTAGATGGGTCCAGCTATGCCAAGTGGCCCTGCCACGTCACCCTTTTGTGGCGCCGTGTGCAAGACACGTGGCCCAATTGCATATTGGCACTTGGGGGCCTCAGGCTGTCCCTCGCTCTCCATAGCCATGATTTTGCGTTAGCTTGGTCTGTATGGCTTGCCAGTGGCCCCCATTAAGGTTCCTGATTGAAGCATGTTGCTTGCGCTACCTAGGCTAAGAGTAGGAGGCTAAATACCTCGCTTGGACCACTTGATGACTTGTGGATTGGAGGTTAGAGTTCAAGGATTTTGTCTTCAGCACCTCAGCCAATCGTCGTTGAGGTGGGGAAAGTTCTGTCCAGTCTTAGAGAGAGTTGTTCTTGATCAAGACATGTCATACGTAGTCTTGTGCGATTCTGACACAATTTAAAGAGTGTATCATACCTACCCACTGTCTGCATATGACATGTCCCGAGGCCTCACTGAAGTAGCAAGGTCGTCATAAGAGAGATAAAGAGAGAGGGAGGGAAGGCGAGTCTACAGAACATCTCATAGCAGCTAATTGCAAATTCAAACAAAAGAAGAGAATTCAGTAGTGCAAATGCTTGAAGATAATGACCATAGATGGATGTAATAGTTACTGAAAATATGTCATACCATACTAAGTGATTTCAAAGCAATTCCGGAGTAAGACTTCCTTTCCTTGGGAATTGGCTAGTCTCTGGTTTTGCTTCTGTTTGTTTCAATGCTAGCTTTGGTGGTTTGTTTATTATTGGTCCTTGTAGCATTTGGATCTCTATAGCAATAAATATGATCTTGTGGGTTGTGGCTTTGGCATTTCTACGAGTATCAAGGATTTACCGTTATGTTTGAAATTGGCTTTAACTAAGCCATGGGAGATGGTAATGCCGAGTTTCCTTACTCTTTTTATAATGAGCTTTAATTTTACTCTTACCAAATTTCCTGTATGTCGATCTCAGTGTTTTGGCTACTAGCTTAGCTTGATTAAGCATGCCCTTGAGCTTTAAACAACCTCACGGCTAGCCTATCAAAAAACTTAACAAATTATTGGAAAATATGGTAAAAGTAAAAATTGCAAGTCCCTCTAACTATTGAAAGTTTATTGTTAATAGAATAGTAAGTTCTATTCTATGGATCTCATACAATTTCTGCTTATAAACCTGTCTGACAACTACTGAATACTTAATTTATGAATGTTTCGTGAATTGCTCTTCACATTTTCTTTCTTTATTTTCCTGAAAAGTCTGACTCTTACATTGGTCAATTTATACTGGGGTCAGTACACGCCCTGGACGGATGAGAAGCACAATTCATATCTTAATGGTTTGGAAGTATCATTTGTTAAGCAGTTGCACCATTCCTTTGGTTTGCTGTCTTGGTGCTCAAAACTGAACACGTCTGATCGAAGTCCATCCCAGCAACTACCTGTCAATGCTAGTTATTCTTCTGACCAGGTTATGCACTTAATGACTTCAGTCAAATATGTTTTGCATATCGTTTCCTTCCATTATCACCTATATTTTGTCTCATCTGAATTCCTTTCTTAACCATGACACCTATATTTCCTATTTTATTTCATTATGTTTAATTTTTTTTCCCCCAGTTCACAGTTTTACGAGAAGGTTCTAGACAGAAGATCAATTTTGAGAGGGAACAGGCTTTACCACATAGTGCAGCTGGTACTCATGTTGTTGTAGAAAGTCCTTGGATACGTCATTTTACATGTTCAGACAAACACAGTACCAAAAAATCAGTTGATTTGCAAGAATGCAGCATGTTCCACAGGGATGAGATACCGTTGAGAGGGAAGAGGATTTTCTCCCATGGATTAACAAGTTTAGGACAGCGGTGTTTATGCCACAAATGCCATCAGCATGCAATTGGTACTATTGCAGGTGATTGTGAACTTAACTTTCTTTGTGCGAAAAGATTCTCACTTAGTATGCTCTGAGTTTGCTTTATTTGGTTCACGATTTAAGTTGCTCACTCCTTTACATTTTCATCCCTGGTGTGGCACGTGCTTGCCTGACCGCACATGCATGTGCTCACAAATATTTATTTTATCCTTTAGGTATAGGATTGGTTTGTGATACTCATGATATTTACACATCTAAAAAAATAGAAGCTCGTTTTGCTAATTAAATCATGTGGTAGCCGACGAAGGCGATTGGATTTGGGCTTTAAGACAATTTCTTTTTAAATTTAAAAAAAAAAAAATTCCTTGTATTTTGTTGATTTATTTACCATAAGTTTCAGATTTTTAAATTGGGCCTCACTTATTATCAATTTGTCCATGTTTGGTCATTTACAATTGCTAATGATATCACCCTTATCATACTTCAATTAATTGTTTGTTTGTAACATGGACTTGTTTCAATCGTTATCCCTAATGTCTTGCAATCTGGATCGGTGTGTATGCCTCAACATTCTCACATGGAGACTAGTCTATGAATTTATGATGCTGTTTTTCGTTGCATTTCTGGTCTTAAAACATTACTGCCCTGATTGAAACAAGAGAGCACAAAGAAACTAACAATGAAAATATAAAATATATATATATATGCATTCTTAGAAAAAAAAATAGTTGAAGGCTGTAAGATGCTGTGGAGGACATGTTAAGTACACTTGTCCACAATCACAAGTTGTCCTCAGAAAGTTGTGAAAAATACTCTTTTGAATGCTAGTAAACTGTTGCTGATATATGGGTGAACATTGTTGATTCATGCCATCATTTTCTTTCTCATTGAATCAAAAATGTTTTAGTCATTGGGGTTCCTGCTGCAGAGGTTTCGGATCAGAACTTTGTGGATGAAGATCGGGAGGAGAAGTCAAGCAGTTTGTCCAAGGCAAAAAAGTTAAAGAAGTCCACAACAACAAATGACCAAGTAACACCTTTTAGTTGATTTTGTAATGGCATTTCTGTAGCTATCACACACAACTGCATGATGACACTCCATTTTTTCTGCAGATAGTGCCCTCCGGAGACCCTTTTACTGCGAAAACTTCGACTTCCAGAAATGCTTTACCGGAAAGAGGAGAGCAAGTGCATCATGAATGTCTGCCAGAAAACGTCGAGAGCTTGGTTTGCCCAGAAAATGATGTGAAATCTTTTTTAAGACAGAAAAGATGTGACTTGAAGTTTGAAAGGTTATTGTAAGCGCAGAAGCATCGATTCATGAAGAAGTTGAAAAGAAACAGTCAAGAGTCAATTCCGATTAGGAGAAATTAGTGGAAATGCTGGCACAAAATTATTTGATTGAATACTAGTAAGAAAGATCGTTTGGTTGTTTGTTTCTATTAGTCAGAGAATTTATTGGTGAGGGTATGAAGTTTATGATATTTAGAGAGCTGGTTAGCAATATTGAAAATATTTATCCTCTCTCCATCTCATTCTCTCTTTCCCCCTCTCTAGTTTGGGATATTTTATTCTAATTTCTAATGTGGTCCTCAAATTTTGTAATATATATATTTTTTTAACTTAAGGCTTCTAATTGCAAACAGTTTTAGATTAAATCATTTACATTTTTAGAATCTTATTAGAAGGGCAGTTATTTCACTTGAAACTGTCAATGTGGTTTCTCTCAATATTTTTCTTTTTGTCATTTATAGAATATCTTAGTTTAAAACTTAAAATTAGCTCAATAGGAAGCACATCATTTAACAAGATAGGTTTTTACCCCTGTTAATAAACTTGATTACATTGATTGGGCTGTTTTGGAAATTGATTATTTTAATTAATTTTTTATTTTTATTTTTTTATGAAAAAGATATGTAGAAAAGTAGAGAGAATAGTTGGTTTTTTATGGTAATTTTTTTAAATTTTTTTGGTAATGTTAATCTATTGTTAAAACAGCCTTTAATTATTAAAATTTTAAGGACTTCAATAAAAAGATAAAATTTAAGTGTCAAATTGAAGATTAAATCAAAGTTTATGATTAGACGTTACGTATTATTTTTCTTTTTTTAATAATTATTGTTATAAATCCCCATTCATTGTGTTTGTGAGTTAACAAATTAAAATCACAAATCCTAGTGTTAAATCATTGATAGAAGTTGGGCATCAAACTTTCATTTTTCACTTTTAACACTTGGCATATCCAAATCCCAAAGGGGGAGACCATTCCCATCATGGAAATTAATCAAAAATTGAATATATATATATATATACATATCTTAAAAGGGAGATCTGACAACAAGTCCCTCAAACCTTTCGTTTTTTGTCAAAATGACAAAAAAAAAAAATCAATACTTGCAAAACCCTCTCACAGCTCCTTTTTTTGTTAAAATGACAAAAATTGACTTTGATTGATAGTAAAATTTGCGATTTCGTCTGTGAACAAATAAAAAAATGTGGATTTTGTGATAGATCTTTCACTGTCTAATTTGTTTTTCAAAAGGATAAGAATTATATAGGTACTTTCAAAACTCCTTAATATTTTAAAACTTGTTTCTTTTACTATATTACCCTCATACCTATCAGCTCTTCTATTAAGTCATCTTCATAGTGTATTTTAGAGTAAAATTTTATTTTGAATCATAGTAAACTTTACTCTGATTCAGCTCTGAATCAAAGTAAAGTTTACTATGATTCAAAACAAAATTTTATATTGTTAAACAAATTGAGAGTAAAATTTTACTCTGAAAGTACAATTTTACTTTAAATTAGAATAAAATTTTACTCTGAATTCAGAGTCAAACTTTACTCTAAAAGTACAATTTTACTTTAGAGTAAAATTTACCATGATTCAAAGTAAAATTTTATATCGTTAAGCAAATCAACATTGTTTTAACCAAAGTAAAATTTTACTCTGAAAGTACAATTTTACTATAATCTAAAGAGAGTATCCACTTTGAATCACACTAAGTGTCATGTATTAATAACCTTACATGTTTGATTGCTGAGAAAATCACAGAAACATAACAAGAAAACCAAATATAGCTTGGTTGCTGAGAAAATCAACATGTTTTTAATCATAATAAAATTTTACTGTTCCAAATCTATCTCATATATACATACAATCACAGATATACATACATACACTCACACACTCATAGATATACATACATACATACACTCATACATTCATAGATATACATACATACACGCACTCACTCACTCACAGATATACATACATACGCTCACACACTCACAGATATACATACATATACTCACAAATATACATACATACATACACTCACTTACCCATATATATACATATATACATGCACATACATATATATAAATACTTATATATACATATATATAGAAAGAACAAATCAGCAGAGACGTAGTGGAGCTTGGCGTGTTCGTCGGAGTGAGCGGCGAAAGAGGGTTGGATGCTAACGGCATTGGCGAGGTCAATGCAAGAGTTCTAGAGGCGGTAGCTAAGCTTTTAGATCTGAAGCTTGAAGGAGTTAGAGAAGGAAGAGGGGGAGGAGAGAGACAGAGAAGGTAGAGAGAGAGTGGATGGAGAAGGTGGAAAGATTTAGTTGAGGGTATAATAGTCTGAAAAAATATTTAAATAATAAATTTTGTCATTTATGCAAGACTTTATAATTATGAGAGGATTTAGAAAGTATAATTTTTTTTCTTGGTCCTTTTAACAATGAAAGGAATGTAAAAGGGGCTTATAACCAAATTTCCCATAAAAAAAAGGGAACGAACAAAAAACAAGGGTTTACAGGGGAAGGAGTGAACGCGAGAGAGAGAGAGAGCAAAAAAGAGAGAGGACGAACTATCGATTTTCAAATTTAAAGTTAACGAATCTCATATCTAAGTTCATCAATCTCATATGAGATGAGAATGATAAGAAAAATGTTTTAAAATACTAAAGGTTTTTGAAAGTACTCATATAATTATTTGTCCTTCTGACAAGATAAATACCTCCGGAGGAATTTATAGCCAAATTTCTTATCTTAAAATTAAACACACATAAAATTTTAATGAATATATTCATCTTATCTTTGCCTTACAAATAAAAAGTTATTCATTACCATGTATGGCATGTCACATTTTACATGCAACATGTCACATTTTACATGCAACATATCACACACGAGTGTGAATAATATTTTATAAATGCAAAAAATATATTTTAAGAATAAGACTTTTGATACATGTTTTGGATTTTACTTTTTTTTTTTTAACTTTTAGTAATTTTTGTTTTAATTTTAAATTCTCTTATTTATTTATTTATTTTTAGATTAGTCTACCAAGACTGAACATAAAAAGAAAAAAGTTGACATAATTTAAAAAAATTAATAAAGACAATTTTTTTTTTTACCTACATGTCAAACACCTCTTAATCTATAGATGAAATTAGCAAATAATTGCTAAAAAAAATCATCTATAAATGTCAAAACTGCAAGCTCGTAGCCATTTGTAAAGCAAATTTTTGCAGGTTAGGGTTTCTCTGCAGTCCTTCATCATATTGGAGAGGTGTTGTTGGGTCTTGTGTGCTCATTTTTTGATCTCGTTTTGATGATCCGAATCGTTCACATTTTAAGGTTCATCGAATATATTTCCCTTGCCAAAAATCAAGTCGATCGGATAATGAAAATTATATGTTTGGATAAGATTTGTATGAAAAAATAGACGGTGATAAAATAAACGGTTCATACAAAATTGATTCGAACACGTGATTTCCGTTATCGAATCGACTTGATTTTTTACAAGAATAATGTACTTAATAAATTTTAAAATGTGAATAATTCGAATTATCCAAACAAGATAAAAAATGAGCCCATTAGGCCGAATTGAGGTCCAATCTGATTATGGATTGGAGACCATCATAGTTCCAATTTTGTGGTCATAATTCATATTTAGATAAATTTCTTATCATATTCATCTTATCTTTGCCTTACAAATAAAAAGTTATTCATTACCGTGTATGACATGTCACATTTTACATGCAACATATCACACACGAGTGTGAATAACATTTTATAAATGCAAAAAATATATTTTAAGAATCAGACTTTTGATACATGTTTTGGATTTTATTTTTTTTTTTACTTTTAGTAATTTCTTTTTTAATTTTTAATTTTCTTATTCATTTATTTATTTTTGGGGCATTTACAAACAAGTCTCTTTTTGTAAACTTATAATCCATTAAGTCCTATATAAAATTATTTGCTCCCCCAAGTCCTATTAATTTTTAATAGGCCAATTTACCCTCCCAAGACCTCCTCACCAGACACTCTCTCTCTCTCTCTCTCTCTTCCCCACAAACCCAGTCTCTGGTCCCCTCCATATGACTCCTCCTTCCCCTCCGTCCAGAGCTTCGTCGGCTCCAGCGCCGAACATCATGCTCGCCATCTACGAGAAGAAGACAGTCTCAGTCGATCTATACCGTCCTCTTCGCAACTACATAGTCTTCAACTACTCCGAACGCGAAGCCCAAAACCTTGAAGACGATCTCCAAACCCTAAAGCAAATGCGCTCCGATCTCAAACGCCCCACCGCCGATTCCCTCTCTTCCCGCCGCGACCCTATCTCCATCGACAAGGACCACGTCAACGCCATGAATTTCACCTGGTATGACACTTTCAAGACCAAATTGAAGGCTTCGCAGCAGAACATCCACCTTGAGAAGGCCTCTGTGTTGTTCAATTTGAGGGCTGTGCAAAGTCAGATTAGACTGACGTTCAAATTTGTTCAATAGGATTTTGTTGGTTTTTGGCTGGAACATTGCTCCTGTGGATCATAGATGGAACCAACACAGATGCCACTGCCATTAGAGACACAGAGAGAGAGAGAGAGTGTTTTTTGAAATTGAGAACCTTCTCAGTTTATAATATTCTCAATTTTAATCAAGAAAAATTTGAGAAATTTCTCAAAATTGATAATTATAAATTTCTTAGTTTTGATAGTTTTGATAATATTTTCAGTTCATACTAGAAAACAAATTAAAAAATTTCTTAGTTTTGATAATTATAAATTGAGAACATTCTCAGTTTTGAAATTGAGAACATTCTCAGTTTTAGGATTAAAGGGCAAAACGTCTTTTTACCTGTACATGGGACTTATTGGTTCAAAATTTTTTTGGTAGGACCTAAGCTACCACCAAATGTGTAGATAGGACTTTTAAGTAATTAACTCTTTATTTTTAGATTAGTCTACCCAAGACCGAACATAAAAAGAAAAAAGTTGACATGATTTAAAAAAATTAATAAAGACAAAAAATAATTTTTTTTTAACTATGTCAAACACCCTCTTAATCTATAGATGAAATTAGCAAATAATTGCTAAAAAACATCATCTATAAATGTCAAAACTGCAAGCTCGTATCCATTTGTAATGCAAATTTTTGCAGGTTAGGGTTTCTCTGCAGTCCTTCGTCATATTGGAGAAGTGTTGTTGGGCCTTGTGAGCTCATTTTTTGATCTCGTTTCGATGATCCGAACCGTTCATATTTTAAGATTCGTCGAATTTATTTCCCTTGCAAAAAATCAAGTCGAACGGATAATGAAAATTATGTGGTTGGATAAGATTTGTATGAAAAAAATAAATGGTGAGAAAATAAACAGTTCATACAAAATTGATTCGAACACGTGATTTTTGTTATCGAACCGACTTGATTTTTTACAAGAATAATATACCCGATAAATCTTAAAATGTGAATTATTCAAATTATTCAAACAAGATCAAAAAATGAGCCCATTAGTTCGAATTGGAATCCACTCTGATTACGGATTGGAGACCATCATAATTCCAATTTTGCAGTCATAATTCATATTTAGGCTCCGTTTGGAAAGTGGGTTGGTTTTTTAGCTATTTTAGTCTGAGACTAAAAAGCCTGATTTGGGAAGGGCTTTTGACTTTTTTGATTTTTTTGTGAGAGAAATAATGTAATGATTATGGGTTTGGTTGTGATGTTTTGTCTTATTTGACTAAAAAGCCTATTTTATTTTTTGTGGCTATTTTAATCAAAAAATATCTCAAAATCCACTTCCCAAACATAGGCTTAAATAAAATGTTACATTTTATCACCACTTTCTTATCTTACCATATGAATTAGATAAAATATTATTATTATTATATGTTATATTTATAGCATTTATTACCATTTTCTTATCTTACCATATGTAACTACATAAGACATTCAAGATTTTCCACATGCCCTAATTGATGGACTGTTGTGCATTTTCCTCCTCGTATAAACAGAAAAATATTCGACTCCGCTACGTAGCTTGAATTAGCAACGGCTCGAATGGCCTGAAATCCCAAAACAACGTCGTTTTGAGATTTTTTTTTTCTTTCTCATTTGTCTGAAGAAAAAAAAGAGGAAGGAGGGAAAAAATCATCGAATTTGAAAGTAAATTTTCATCTTCAGAGGAAGGAAATTATCAACGGTTGGGTTTGTTGTTGATTTCAGAAGGAACTGATGTAAATCTTCAGAATGAACTGATTTCAGAAGTAACAACACGTCAGGAAATTAAATTTTCATCTTCAGAGGAACTGACCTAGGAAGAAAAAACCAATATACCAGATCTCGTTTGATTAAAATTTATTTTCAGATAATCAAAATCTTCATCAACACATCATCATCAACAACAACGTCTTTATCAACATCACCATCATCAACATATCATCTTCATCTTCAGAGCTAGGGGAAAAAAAAAGAAAAAAGAAAACAGAAATCGCAAGTCACCGTTGCACCCTCGCAAGGTCACCGTTGCAGTCACCGCCGCACCCTCCATTACCGTCGCCCCGCCCCGCCATCGCCGTCACCTCTCTCTCGCAAGGTCACCGTCGCACCCTCTATCACCGTCCACCGTTGCACCCTTCATCACCGTTCACCGTCGCACCTTCCATTACCGTCGCCCCGCCTCACCATTGCATCTCTCTCTCTATGTTCGTCTCTCTTCTCTCCTGCTCTCTCTTTCTCCCCTTCTTTCTCTCTCTCTTGCTCTCCCTTTCTGTTCAGATATAAATGAGAAAAAAAAAAGAATTGTCAAAACGACTTCGTTTTAACAATTCAGGCCATTCGAACCATTTAAAATTCGAGTTCTCCGGCATTTTCGAAAATATTTTCTTATTGGGTTTTCAGTTTTCTTTTCTTATCTTTTTCTTTTATTTTTTCTGAACTAGAATGGACGATTGAGATCATCCTAACACCAACAATCCAATAATACGAATGGATCAGGATTCATAATCCACAATATACCGACTCCTCTATATGTATATATCTATATACAATTACATGTTTATATGTGAGTCTTATGATAACGAAGAAGATTTTCAAAAATGTACAAAAACCCTCAATCGAGTCGTGGACTTTTCTCTATCAGATTCAATTCACTGACCTCAACTTCAAAGACCCAAAATCGTAGAAGACTCGTATGAGCTTCAAAATCAGGTAAAATTTTCCTTCATCTTCCTCTTTCTCTCTCCAATTTTCCCGAGGAAGAAAAGCGAGGAAGAAAATAGAAAGAAAATCATTGATGGGTATTACTATAAGACCGAGTTCGATCCATGACGATTCACACAATTCCAGTGGAGCTTCTTCATCGTGTAATACTAATGCTACCAAGAAGAGATGGTCCAATTTGATGCCTTTCTTCGTAGTCCTAGTTGTTTTAGCAGAGATCGCATTTCTGGGTCGTCTCGATATCGCCAAGAACGCCGCTCTCTTGGCCGACTCGTTCTATCAGTTCACGTCGCCGTCGTGGTCGTCGTTGCCGGCGGCGGCTGGTGATGAGGTGGTGTTGAGTGGTGTTGATCGGAGGTCTGAAGCGGATGGTTGTGAGAAGTGGTTGGAGAGAGAAGATTCTGTGGAATATTCTAGGGATTTTGAGAAAGAACCCATCTTGGTTAATGGTGGTGACCAGGTTTGTTTTGTTCCAATTTTTTTGCTTAATTTGATTTTCTTTTGCTAATTTTCAGATTATTAATTTTAGCTCTTAATTTAACTGCTAAAACCAAATTATAGCGATCCCGATATTCCCTGTTGTCGTTTAACTGTAATCTGGACTCGGTTCCGTAGATTTGTTGTTGTCTTATTCTCATTTCTATCCCTTACTCTTTGATTTAGAGTTTTGGGAATTGTTGGGCAAGTTGGGAATAAGTTGGTTGTGTTTTAAAATTTAGAATTCTGCCCAGGTTTTGGTCTCTCCGCTCTAGCGTCAAAGCTCTTTGACGCTCGAGCGGGCTTTTGTTGTTGCCTCTCCGCTCGAGCGGCAGTTTGGACGCTTGATCGTGAATTTCCTTCTCTCAGCATTTTGGTCGTCTGCAAAAAATTCTAGGAGGGTGCATCCGGCGCTCGAGCGGATCTTTGGACGCTCGAGCGTGAACCTGTGTCTGACGCTCGAGCGGGGTGTTGTACGCTCGAGCGGACCTATTTTATATCAGTCCATAAAATCACTTTTTAAATCACTTTTTCACTTTTCTTTTCTCTCTCTTACTTTTTCAAAACCGATTTTTGAGAGCTCCTCACTCTAAAACCTAACTTCTCTCTAGGGTTTGATCTAGTAGGAGTGTTTTCCTCACTTTGGGCCTTTGTAAAAAGTGTGTTGATCGTCGAGGGATTCGTTTTGATCCAAGAAATTTAAGATTTGGAGCACTTCCGAGTTTTGTTCTTCTTCTCCTTGGGGTCTACATTTGAGGTAGGGATTTCCTTGTTTTTTTTCAATACTTCACGTATAGATAGACATGTGGTAATTTTGTATTGCATGAAAATCATATCCACGTTGGATTTGTTTGAAATCATGAGAAGGAACCTAGGGTTGGTTGTTTGAAAATAGTTATTTTATCATTGATGGTTGTTTTGGGCTATTTGGAGTGTAAATTAGCATGTTACAGTTGAAAGAAGAAAAAAGCCCTAAATTATATTTTGATTTGGTAAATTAAAATGGAGGGTAGTTAACCTATGTTATAAATCTCTATTGTTAATGTGAGTTGGGTGAAGGTGTTAATGCCTAAGGGGTTAACTTTGGCTTTGGAATGGTTTTGAAATGAATGTAGTGGACTAATGTGAGTTATGGTTTTATTATCAACGGAATTGGTTTTGTAAAACAAAAGGAATGGAATTGGTTTTGTGGAAACAAAAGGGATGGAGTTGGTTTTGTGAAAACAAAAGGAAATGGAATTTGTTTTGTGAAATGAGAAAAGTATCTTTGATATAAGTATGAAAATTGGATTGTTGTTTCTTGAGTGTTAAATACACACACGTGGGGGTTGTACCTTTAACTATTGTGTTAGTGTTGTTGTTGGGTTTGTGGTCTCATAGTAATTGAGTCTTTAATAGATGTACTAAATACTTGCATCTAGAGGTTTTGTCCTTGGTCATCGGTGGAGGATGACATGGTTATATTGAATTGTCGCGTATGCATTATACCATTGTTGATTGAACATTGTATGTGAGGAAGTGCTGAGATACATTATATGTGTATACTTTCGGGGGGGGAATTAATTATGTGTTCATATACTTTAGCACATTGCTTGTATCTTGATGGTTCATGTATATGTGTTATACATGTTAGTTATGCCCTGTTGTATTTTGGTTGGTGGTGTTATGCCTTGCGCTAAAAATCAGAGGTACCGTGACCTTCCAGCTAGCGCCTGGAGAACTGACTGCGCTGAGAATCTAAGGCACCACACCCTTCCAACTAGCGCCTGGTAAACTGGTATGTTGTTGTGAAAGGTGTATCTTTGGCTTACTACGCACATAGCTGGTAGAGCAAAGTTTTGTTGTTGTTGTTCCATTGTATTTGAGGATATCATGGATTTGGTTGGTTACAGTTTCGGAGGGCCAAGCTACCTCATTGGCTGATTATATACATGTTAGTGAGTTGTTATCTCCCTTTTTATAAAAGTATGCATGTATAGTTATGATTGTATTGGGAACGAACTAAAATGTCATTTTGTCATTTGGAAAGTGTGAAGGAGATCGAACATTTTTTCAAAAATATGTTTTGAGAAGGCACATCTGTTGTATGTATGGAAAATGGAAGAGAGTACTGGGCTTAGTGAGATTATTTCCTAAGTAATTGTTAATGTTATGAAAGATTGGAGTTAATGAAAGAAAAAGGAAAGATGAATCGCTTATAGCGTTGAATTAAATGGTTGTTTTCGAGAAAGTTTATACGTATGTATATTTTGTATAAACTGTCACATTACTATTCTAGTATGAGATTGGGCATTCATGATCATAGCTATCTGTAAGTTGTTATTGTTGAGGGCCATGTTGAGATTCCTATATGTTCATCCCACGTTGTTGAATCTTTTTTTCAGGTGTTGAATAGGATGTGCTACAAGATTTGGATCTTCTTAATTGTTGGCCACGGGGCCTCTTTTATGTTGGCGAAATGCCATATATGTAAAAGGGTTACACCCTTCTTCTTGACTCTTTAATGCTGTAAGCTCAAGGGCAATTTGTTTAGCATGCTCATGTTGTATTTACATTGCATACGAATGAGAGTGTTGTTATTCACTTCTACGAGTTGAATATATGAGTTTATTTCCGCATGTTATCTCTGAAACGGAATTAAGTTAATGAATTTGGTAATACTTCGAGTATTAAAAAGTAGGGCGTGACAACTTGGTATCAGAGCGAGGCGGGTTTGAATACTTTGGGCTCGTGAGAAGTGGTTTTTACCACAGTGGGTTTGCTACGTATAGTGAGGACGTTGCATATAGATATCATAAAGTTAAGACTTGTGTGCTGTATTTATGTGAGCATGAGATTCAGTCTCTCGGGTAGTATTCATAGCCGGTGAACTTGCTTTGAGGTCCTTTCGGAAACACGCCTGATCAACGTGGTTTCTGATAGGAATTCCTTGAGAGTTTCGAGATGAGTGGCTATCTTTGTGGACTTGATTCGATTATGTGTTTACATGTTTAGATGATTATATGCAATAGAGATGTATATTTTGTGACTAAGTGAGTCTTGTGACTTAATAGTAGTGGTGTGTGCCTCGGAGAAGGCTATTGTGTTGTGCACTAAACGTGGTGTTTGCTTTTGTGCTTTATAGGATGTCTACACGAGGAAGTAGAGGACGGTTGAGTAGTAGGAGTGTCGGTAGGGGCACAGCAGTTCCTTTAGCACCCGCCGTTGCAGCATCGGCTGTCGGCGAGGATGTTGCACGTGAGATTGTGAGAAAAGTGCAAGACGCCCTAGCTTGCACTGAGGGCGGCAGCGGGTATGCTCTCAAGCTTACTAAAGAGTTTTTTCGCTCTGGCCTACCAGAGTTCGTGGGGGAGGCTAAACCGTTGGAGGCAGAGAGTTGGTTGGAACAGATTACCAAGACTCTTGATATGCTCAGAGTTGAAGAGGAGGAGTTGAGGGTTTCTTTGGCGACTTTTCAATTAAAAGGCGATTGCGAGTTATTGGTGGAAGTATGCTAAGAATACTGTAGGTAGCACGTGGGTTGCTTTTACCGAGGCCTTTTGGGCTAAGTATTTCCCTCCTTCTGCTCGGGAAAGGTTGAGGGATTAGTTTTTGGAGTTGCGTCTGGATGATGCTCCTGTGGCACAGTTTGAGATGCAGTTTACTAGTTTGTCGAGGTTTGCTCCAGAGTTGGAGGCAACAGAGGAGCGTCGTTGTTATGAGTTTGAAAGGCGGTTGTGTTTCGATATTCGGGAGAAGGTAGCTGGATCCTTTTGGAAGGATTATTATAATTTAGTCGAGGCAGCGGCCCATGTGGAGGCCATGGTTGTGAGTGATGGTCGGGATAGGGAAGAGACCATCTCGGTAAGTCCTACGGTTCTTAAGCGCTCTAGGCTCAGTAAGGGGTGGAGGTGGAAACATGCTCAGTCAGGGGCTAATTCCTTTTCTTCGCCAGGGGTTTCGGACTCTTCTGTTGGGAGGTTCGGGGAGGAGCAGGTTTCAGACCAGTCTCAGAGTAGGGGGTCTAGTGGTTGTTTCGTTTCTGGTCAGCTGGGCCATGGTCGACGTTTTTGCCCTTTGCGTGTGAATTCTGCAAGTGTTTCAAAACCTAGTCAGACTCAGTCGTACCCGTCCAGTCGGGGACGATATCGGTACCAGAAACGGGCAGGCCAAGCTTCGGGAGCCTCGCGAGGGGCGACTTATTAGTCAGCCCTATGGTATTACCCTGGAGGGGGATTTTTGTGTTATTGGCCGGTGATGTATCATGTGAATGATTTTGTTGTTGACCGGTGTACTGTTGGATGCTGAGGCACCATGTTTATGTATCACATATGTATGCATAGTGTTGTTTGTTTAATCCTCATGTATTGGGGAGTATGTATGGAATCTCGAACCCTCTTTTATATATTGAGAAGTTGTGTTAGAATTTCCCATCTTTACCTTCACCTACTCCACTACACACTCCACTTCACCTACCTCCACTTCACCACACACTCCACTTCACCTAACCCACTATCACCTCCACTACACCTACTACCACATTTTCTTCTATATATAGATTGTATAGGAATTGTAATCAATAAATCTTGTAATCTATCAATTAATCAATAATACATACATAAATTACATAAATTCTTACATGGTATCAGAATGTGCATTCAATTGAATAGATGTAATATTTTTATAAAGATAATTTTAATATTATTTAGAGTGAGAATTTTTTTTAAAATTTATAAACAAGGATTCAAAAAAATAGAAAAGGATTCAAAAAAATAGAAAATCACTCTTTGTCCACTGTAATTTAAACCAAACAATCACCCTCTCCCCTCCCTTCATTACCAAACAGAAGGCCATCTCTTCTCCAACCAATTTTTTCTCTCTCTAGACTTCACCACCAGCCCCCCGTATGATCTGATTGTTTCTGCACAGCTGCCTTATCCAAGAAACTAAAATCTTTGGTGTGATCAATCTTGCGGCTTCCTTTGATAGCAGATTCTGTATCAG